TGTTAGGTAATTTTAAATTGCAAAAGGCCAGGCCATTCATATGCAAAAGCCTCTGGGCACAGCTTGGGTGGGGCAGGGTCTCAGGGAATCAACAGGGCAGAACAAACAGCTATGGCTGTTCCTCAGCCCTGCCCTGAGATCCTGGGTCTCAGTATCCAGCAGTAATCGCTGCAAGCATCTCTGAGAGAAAGCTGCCCTTGAGTTCTGCCCACTGCCAGACAGTCCAGTTTCTCCCCGTATGAGTCCTGGGTCCCCAGAGACTTCCCGGAACCAGAGTTCAGAGTAGTCAGGAGCTTGTGACTCCCTCCCGATTCAAAAAGAGAGCCGCGTCCTCAGGTGCCAGCCCCTTTCCACACGCGCACAAGCCTTCGTACCTCTGCACTTTACTTCCGGACCTCCTCTGAGTCTCCGTGTGGTTTTCTTTTTCCTTCTAGTTGTAGAATTTCCACTCAGCCAGCCTTCCTGTAGTTCTGGATGATGTCCGTTTTGTTTTTTCGTTGTATTTTTGAAGTTGTTGTGGGAGGCAGCAATTTCCTGGAATTTACCTATGCCACCATCTTAGTTTCTCTTCTATGTGTATTTTCTTAACTTTCACATTGTGGTTGTGATTTTACTTTTTATTAGAACTCATTGTCAGAGCTTAAAAATATTTCATTTAAAAAATCCAGATATTTTGCTCTTTTGAAAAATCCAGGAGATCTTGAAATATTGAATATCCCCACATGGTAACAAATAACTGGATCTGAGTAGTAAATTCCCCTTTAGACAGGAGATGAATTCTTCAGTTTTCCACAGTCACTACTACTCTCTGCTTCACCTTATATTGGATCTAATTCACATGTTAATCTCACCTATATAACCACAGTATGCTTGTAAGTCAGTGACTCCTGATAAGCACCCATCCCAATGGAAAAATTGTCTAATCCTCTTTTCCATATGGAGACCCTAAGGGAGCTGCCTGCCCTCAGTTATTCACAGAAGGGTACTACATTATGTTGAGGACAGAGAAAAAGCATAAAAAAGTTACCTATTTCTTCTCTCAGAGTCAAGAAAAGGGAGACAGGCAGATCTCAGATGGTGCCTCATCTTTCTGGGCTCTGTGGCCCAAATGCTTCATTGTCTATGTTTTGTGCCCAAGGACTGGGCAACAGCTCCTATTTGAGAAACTAACCTCCAAAGTCAAATACAGGATGGTCTACCCTGAATCACAATTTCCAATGAGTAGAAGAGAGAGAAATAGAGTTTAATAAGGGTTATAAATCAACAACAGCGTTCCTCTTGTGTCCCTGAAGCCCAAAAGTGCTAGATTAATCTCAATTTAAGCCAGGGGTACAGCAAAACACATCTGTTAGGCTTTTTGAAGATCATATGACAGGCTCTAGAGTCAAACTTACCAAGGTAGGTCTATATAAGGGGGATCTTCTCATACAAATAGAGAGAGGTAAAAGTGGTATTGCTTTGGGCCCTGCATCCAATTGACTAAGGAGTCTTAAGGACCCCAATATCCTGTAAATCTTACTAAATCAACAGCAGTTTGCAGATAGCATTAAGAACATTCAGTAGCCTGTGTTCCTGTTTTAGTATCTCTCCATAGCTTTCAGTTACCTTGATGACACATAAACTGTACTTAGCCTCAGTACCCTTGGCTGGAGTTTTAATAGCCTGCCTGGTCCTGGCCAGCCATCATCCTACATCCCCTATCTTTGCCCTCAGTGATCTGGACATTCTTTCTCCATTATTTTGGCTAATGGTTGAAGTTGTAATGAAAAAAGATAACAATGTTACCACTGATTTAAATATGACCTTCCATTTACAATTTCACATGGCTATCTCCTATGCCAGATATTTTTGGATATCATTATTGTCTGGGGCAAAAACGTCTAGATTTGCCAACTCCTCTGTACTCTGAGCTCTCAGCTACCAACATTTGGGTTATAACTATACTAATAACAGTTATCTGAGACTTCACCCACTCTTATTACAGTCATATCTCAAATCCAGCCAGCTTCCCTTCATTTCTGACATGTTCCCGAGTCTATACCTATTAGTAGAAATGAAAAATTGTAAAATAACTTAAAAAAACAAGTAATCTAATTCTACATGTCATTTTAAAGATTAGGGAGAAAGAGGCCTAAAGAAGTTAGATGCCTTGCCTATAGTTATATAGTGATTCAGACGTAGACTTAGAATCTAGGTCTGCAGAATTTATTTTAATGCTTTTCCCATGCTGTTTTGTTCCTTTATGAAGCTCTGTATCTTAATGAAGCAGGTCCTGTGAATGCTCAGGGTTGGTCTCAGTCATCTCTGAAGTCCCGTGCTTTCTACTGCCAGCCCCTGATAGTCTACCTCTGGGGTTTTCCAGCACAGTATGTAAGGTCTACTAGCTCCCAGTCCCAGTTCCTGGTGATCATGACCTTGATTCATGTAATACTTGAAGCAGCTACACTTACCATTCTGGCGATGTCTGTTGAAGAACTGCTTGAAGTAGAGGAAGAAGAGCCCCAGGACTGCCAGAGTAAACACCATGAGCACACTGCTCACCAGTACAAGTGTGGCCTCCTGAGGGGGCACTGTGGGTACATCTGCCTTCACTAAGCTCAACCGGAAGGCACCTGTGAGACAAGAAATTGGGGGAAGTCAATCAGTGTAGGCAGTCAACAGTCACCCTAACACTGGGCCTGGACTTCCTTAGGCCATCCATCTCTTCCTAAGGCCTTTCCCTTTTAGGGCTGATAAGCTGGTTTTACTCTTTTGTGGATCAGGCAAAAATGTAAAGAATAAAGCAGAGATATTAGCATATACTACTAATATGGTATAAATTAGTACAAATATTTGAAGATGTACATAACCTACGGTCTTTCTATGTCACCTCTAGTTATATAACCTAGGAAAATGGAAATGAAGTGTTCATCCATGGGCACAGGATAAATAAATCATGATATAATCCTATGATATAATATTATATAGCATTTAAAATAACATACATGTATGGATTCATATAAATAATCCAGAAGAGAAAACAAATCAGAGAAAGTGTGTAACTTGATGTCATTTATATAAAACATTATAAAATATAAATAACAGCATATATTGTTGATAAATATGTATATACTAGAGGCCTGGTGCACAAAATTTGTGCACTGGGGGGGCGTCACTCAGCCTGGCCTGTGCCCTCTTGCAGTCCTAGAGCCCCGTGATCAATCACCCCAAGGAGGGAAGCCCTCCCCACCCACCTCAGTGCCATAGGCTGGGTAGCCTGGGCTTCCCTCTGCAGGGCGACTATGGAGTGATGGTAGGAACCCCAACCAATCGCATCACACCTGCCTTGGCTGGCCTGGCACCAGTGCATGTCATAGCTGGTCGTCCAGACAGTTGTTCTGCTGTTTAACTGTTCAATCGATTTCCATATTATGCTTTTATTATTATAGATGTTACAAAAGAATATAAGTACTCAAACATGGGTAGAGAAATTGGAGCATCATAGTGTTCACCAATTATTCACATGCTTCCCTGCATTTCTCATTCACTCTTATACTAAGGCCATCAGAGTACTTCTGGCCAATGGATGTGTGTCACTTGCAGACTGAAGTAATTAAAAGCAAGTATGCCTTCTCAATCTCTTTTCATGTCCCATTAACCTGGAAGTCACATGATGTAAATGATATAGTCACAAGATGGAGGAAGGCCTTTGCATAGTGAAAAACAAACTTTTGTTGTATTAAGTCACTCAGATTGTGGAGTTTGTTACTGTAGCATAGCCTACCAGCAAGATACATACAATTTCATGATAGTGGTTGCCTCTGGGGAAGTTAGTAGATAATAGAACTCAGAGAGGATGAAAAAGGGAATTCCATTAAACCTGTGGAGTCCTCATTCTTTTAAAAATATCTGAAGTAAATATGCAAAATGTCAAGATTTATGCATGTTGGGTTACTGAGCATTGTATATTTTCTGCATTTTAAATATTTCTACATATTTGAACTATTTTATTATTTAAAAAGTCATAAATATTTTAAAAAGAATACATGAGTAGATCTATAGATGATAGATATATGAAAATGATAGGCAGATGGACAGATAAATTGATGGTGATATAAGCATAGACTAGATCCTAGTACTTCATTTAGCCTTTACTAGTCCTAAGCACTAGGGACTATTATAAACCTCATATCACCATCATCCACAAGTATACACATGTTATAATTTATAAGCTACTTTCTAAATCCATTATTTCATTAGATATAGATAGCCATCCAATAAAATATGAAAAATGATTGTCCTAACATATTTTTTTTCAGATGAGGGTCAACAAATTTCAATGATTTGCAGAGGGTTACAAATATAATACATTGGAAAACCAGGATTCAAATCTGATTCCCTTGTCAATCTAAACTATAGGAAGAAGTATGAGGGGGCAGTAGAAGTCTTTACTACCCTGTCTTACTGCTACCCAATGGGTTGGGGAAGGAAAAAGAGAAGAGAACTGGATACACACATTGAACCTCAGAGGTGGGGGTGTGCTTCGTGCATGGGATGCACTCTCGGTCCTGCAGGCCTCCAATGCGTGTCTTTTGGTAGAACCTGTGGTCAGAGAAAGAAAGAGTTTCAAGTTGATCAAACAATCAATGCCCTTGGATTTGTCCTTCCTGAGACCATAGGCAGCTTTTAAGAGTCTTGTGATCCTGAAAGCCAGCACCCACCATCACCCCTCATGAATTATCTGTCTCTATGTCTTATTCAGACTCAGAGTCCCAGATACTCCACTTTTCCCTCCAATTCACCACACCCTATAGCCAAAAAGGGAATTAATATCACAAGAGAGGAGAGCACTGCTTTCACACCAACTGCTTCCTAATTTCTTTTATGTCTACAGTGAGATTTACCTTGAATGTTGGGCCTGAGCTAAGCATGCCAGCATAATAAAGTTGTTAAATACTCATCTGTGGCTGACCATGTGATAGGAACTTTATAGTGGGATCTTGGCAAGACACTGTTTTGCATTAGTGAGTGCTTACACTTGTCATGAAATGGACAGTTAGACTACTTTGTCTAGGCCCTGAGAGACCTCCAAGGGCTGGAGAAGGCCCAGAACGACTTGACTTCATAGAGCAGGCTCACCTTGGAAGACAGTCCCCACAGACAGCATTAGAGGTAGCTGTGCAATTGTCCTTTTGGACACGATTGATGACAGCACAGGTGATGCAAATATGACATCTATGATGGCCCCAGCTACTTTTGTATCTGCGTGGAGGGCAGGCTGTGCAGTATGCATCTCCACCCTCTCCATAACCACAATCCTGCAGAGAAATGGGAGTCACTAACATTGCTGTATAGGAACTTGGATAGAGGATCAGCTATGGGACAAGTGGGTATTGTACAGAGTTTACAAACTGAAAGTTGCAACCCATTACCAAGTCATGAAATCATTTTACTAGGTTACAAACAGCACTAAAATTTTGTCATGAGGCAAAATAAAATAATGATATAAAGTACCACAGTGCATAGCATACACTAAAGCTAGGTACTTATATCAGTCATTATAGGCTATGTCATGCTATGGCAAAAAGAAAACTCCAACTTTCAGTGTCTTTTAAAAAAAAACACCACAAAAGTTTATTTTTCACTCACACTATTTGCCTACCAGAAGTTTCCTGGGGGGCTCTGCTTTACATTATTCTCATTGGGTCACCTGGGTGACAGAGGTTTCATCTTTGTGCTGCCATGATTAGAGCATCAGGGAAAAAAGAACATGGTTCTTCCCATGTCATGTTGCTCACATATCCGTGACCACACATATCATCTGATTATTAGTAACTATGAAGGTAAAATAAAGTGAAATTCTACAATATTCTAGAAAGCAAGGAGCTGGAGAGATTTGACAAATAGCTGTATTCACTATCTACCTCAGTATTGCTTTGTAAATTTTACAGATAAAATCTATATAAGTATGTGTTGGCTTGTGCTGAAAAATTTATTTATTACTCTTGGCAATGGTAAAAAAAAATGTCTGAATGCCAGTGGTATAGATGAGAGATGAGTAATCCAGCTGGCTCTTGGCTGAGGTCTGGTATTGACTCAGTGTGACTCTGGCTGACCCTTCTCAATTGTGGGGAGTCATAGGAAATTCAAATAGATGGTCTATAAATGTTTTTCTAGATATGACATTTTAACCTAGGAACAAGGTTCCAGCCTGATATGCCATATCTCTTTCTCAAAGACACAATTCTAATTATCAATGGATATGAACTATTTGGTAGTTCTGGCAGAAACTGGCTTGTTCACCACTGTAGTTAGATGAGCCATGTGCCTAGTTTTTAGCCAATGGATTAAAATGACGTGTGTCTCTCCCAGGCCTGCTCTCCAAATGCTTGATACTTAATATATCCTTCATTTTCTTTATACTTTGATTTTCTTTTTTTTAAATATATTTTTTATTGATTAAGATATTACATATGTGTCCTTGTCCCCACGTTACCCTCGAACTCCCCCGCCCCCACGTTGTCCGTGTCCATTGGTTAGGCCTATATGCCTGCATATAAGTCTTTTGGTTGATCTTTCCCCCTTACCGCCACCCTCCCTTACCCTCCCTCCAAAGCCCGACAGTCCAATCAATGCCTCTCCGTCTCTGGATCAGTCCTT